TATATTACATATTTACACGTCAGCATACAATGAGTCCTTTTCAGAATATGATAAAAGCAAATGTTCTACATCATGAATGACTAGTATACTCAGTGATAAATTGCTTTATTAAAGTAGTGATAATGATCTTGAGTTTTGTGTTTCAAACTGTTGGTATAAAACCCTGCCTTAACCTCAAGGGAATTAGATAATTTATTCTAAGACAAATAGGAATGACCATGGAACAGGAACATGGATGCAGTCATCCCAAATACCGTGTTCCAACATTTATATGGTTACATGGACATTTATATTCACAGAACATAAAAACCAAGGCATTTAAATAATTCAGTGGTGGGAATATTAAGCAGGGACATTAAAGCAAATTAAAAAAAATCCCAGATAGGCCTTAGATGCCATCCTACAAAAGGTCCAGAGACACCTCCTTTGGGACTGTAACCTTGAACCAGCCTTATCATACTCTATTCTCAACACTTAAGCAAAATCCAAAGTCTTTTGATGAAGCAAAATCCAAAGTCTTTTGATGAGATAGTGTAAGGATTTTTCTTTATCTCCTAGTCCAGATGAAGGACAGAAAGAGATAATTCTACATGTAAATATCACTTAGTTCTGAAACAAATCTCAAGTATTTAATGTTAAGTCTGCTATATTTTCAGATAGTTCATAATCTACAACTAGAATCTTATTTTTTTTCTTACAAAACATAGCACACTTAAATACTTTGTTGTTGTTTATCTTATTTTTTTCCTTACTTATTTATCTTTATTTTATATGTATGAGTGTATTGTCTGCATGCATGTAAGTGTACCTGTGTTGTGCAATGCCCACACAACAGAAGACAGAAGAGGCCATCAGATCCCCTGGAACTGGAGTTAAAACAGTTGTCAATTGCCATGTGAGTGCTGGGATTTGAAACTGGGTCTTCTGTAAGAAGAGCCAGTGTTCTTAACCATTGAGCCATCTCTCCAGACTCTTACTGTTTCTTAAGGACAATTTCTGTACACTCTGAACTAGACATATGAAGGCCTCCTAGCAAGATACTAATTTAAAATAAAAGCCGTCCTGGCTGGTTTGACAGTTTAAGTATCACGCTGAAATTTCTGCAGAGTTTCTTGTTTATCTGAGCTGTTTTAGTTTTTCTATTTATGTAATTTTTGGTGATAATTTGTTGATTGATTGTAGAATTTCACACAGTAGATTTTGACCACATTCTGACCCCTTCCATCTTTCCAGTCCCTCCTTACTACCCCCCCATTTCAAGTTCTCCATTATTTATTTATTTACTTAATTTTTTTAAGGCCTATCAATCTGCACCTTCCAAGTGCTCTGGGATGTGGGCCCATGCTTGGTGGTTATTTGTAATGAATGAAACCTGCCAACTGCAAAAACATACTTCATTTTATAATGGTAAAATAGCAGAGACTTCAGTATTCTTTTTGCCCCTTATTCCACTATGCTTCATGAGCCTTAAGTGTAGAGGTTCCTTTGTAGATGTATCACTTAGGGTTGGGAAATTCATAGTCTCTGTGTGTGACCAGTTGTGGAACTCTGTAATAGTCTCCATCTCTTCCAAAAGAAGCTTCTTTGATGAATGGTGACTGGCATACTTGTATATAAATATAAGGATTCATATTTAGTGCATTGTAAGACATTACATTTGTCTAGGGATGTGAGAGATTTGGGGTTTTCTCTGAGACCTATGACCTTTCCAGCCATATGTATTTGGCTATGTTTAGAGTACCACACGTGAATTTCCTCCCACTGAGTGGGCTTTAAGTTAAATTAGGAAGATGTTGATTACTCCTAAGATAAAAGTGCCACGACTGCCTCATTGTAGTTTTCTGTCATGGTCTAATGCACCTTTAATCTCAACTCTCATCAAAAAAGTTCCCTTGTGCAATGCAACAGAGTGCTATGATCACAAAAGGACACAGATGATAAAAGCATAGAGAATAAGGGTCTGCAGAATGTGGGTCCTTGGATAGGGTTCCTATATTAAACTTGACCCATTCAGGGCTCAGGGACCATTCTTAAAGAGACGGTGGAAAAATTGTAACCGCAAGGGGAAGGAGCATGACAAAACAGTCTCCTGTGACCAATCTTATATGAACCTTCAGCAATTGTGTCAACATGTAGAAGACCCATGCAAACTGAAGCAGACAAAAACCCAGCACAGAACTGTGGCAATGGGCAGCAGGCCCCAATCTTAGCCAAAGAATGATTGGCAGCTGATTACTGCTGGGTGAGGAATAATTGAACTTCTTAAAGGAAGGGAATCTAGATAGGCTGACTAGACCTCAGTAGATCTGAGGGACATCTGGGGACACTGACTTGCCATGACAAGCCTTAGTACAAATGACAGATGCATGAAATCTAGTCGGGGGGGCTCTGGGAGGGGGCCAGTTGAGAAAGGGGTATAAAGATGATTAAGATGCTCAGTATCAAATACACAAAAATTCAATAAAATTTATGAAAATATAGCAGATGCTTAAATCCAAATATTTGTTAACTGTTAGTATTTGAACCAAGCAGGTTGGTTTTATGATGTGGTTACCATCCTAATTATAGAAAAATATGTTTATTAATAACTAAAAATTTAAAATAACATCTATTTTAAAAATCACTATAAAATAACTTGGAGCAGTCTATCAATGTAAGCTCTGACTATACTGAATTCCACATACTTAAGGCATATCCTCACTATACTGCACTGTGCGCTGAATCCAGAACAAGGAGTATGTTCTCCATGGGTTCAGAAATCAAGATTTTTATTTAAAAGATCCAGCAAAATTTACAATTTCAAATTTCCTATCCACAAAATTCTTTCAGTTCTTTTACACAAATATTTGGTATATACTCTCAAAGTTCATTACATTATATTGAGTATAGTTTAACAAGCCATGATAAAAGGAACCTCAAGAGAGGTAGGACCATAGGAGAAGGGTATTAGTAAGGGAGAAAGGGGGGAAATGGGGGCACCTTAAGTGGGATCTCCATGATGGAGGGGTTAGACAAAGCGAGAGATAAATAATGCCTAGCTGCCATATTACTCCAACAACCTACTGACAAATTATACATAGCAGATCAAGAAATATATGTCTAAGTAAGCTTTATCTGAGAACAATTGGTCTTTGCCCAAGATTTATCTACATGACACACAGTAATTAAAAGTACCAGACTGTGGAACTAACCTTATTGGGTGTTTAACAGACATACTTTGAGGCCTATAATAATTTGGTCAGAGGAACATAAAGGACACTTTTTGCTCCTTGTCATCTTAGGTCAACTAGTTCCAGGGGACTATAAACATCTCTCAAAATGTCCAGTAATTTTGGTGGGTCACCTGTCCTCTTGATCAAGGAGTCTGAGGAGACCCCACCAGATGGACTTGAACCAGTGTCCAGTCTACAAAGAGGAGGGTCAACACAGAGGAATCATTTCCTCCATACTTCCAAGAGAAGCCAACCATGGTAGAGCAGGGCCTTCAACTTATCTTCACATAGATGGAACTGGTAAAAGAAAGGAGCCAGGGGCTCCTCCCAATCCCATGTGACCCCTGAGGAACAGATCCTCAAATGACCTTAAGAGTAAAAATAAATCGGTTTATCTGGGCCAAATTTATGGCCTTAAACACCCAAAAGGAAAGTATAACCAATGATTAAAGGGGCCAATATATTTTCTTAAGAGTCCATATGCATAGCTAAAGGCTACATAACAAGCAACAATGCCAGATAGGAGATACCTTCTCTTGAGTTGTTGGCCCAGGTGGCCAAAGGGACTCCCAGACAGTAACCCATCATAGAAATGGGAAAATAAACACCAGACCCTAATCTTATCCAAAGGAATATTGACAAATGATTGGTGCTAGATGAGGAACAGCTGACCTTCCTAAAACAAAGACCTCTAGATAGGCTGACTAGATCCACCAGAAGGGCAAATAGTAGGGAATGGCCGGGTGCCGACAACACAGCAGACAGTAGCAGGAATATCAGAGTATAAGGGCTCTAGTGGGGGGAGGGAGGCTACGGGAGGGTGCCATCTGGGAAGTGGGTGTATAGTTGAATAAGATGGTTTGGGATGTTCTGCATGATATACACACACAGAAAAAAAATCAACAAATTTTTTAAATGTATTATATTTGAGGAGGAAGCATAAAAGTTTACATCATATTAATTAGT